TTGAATAGCTTTTTTACTATTTAAATAACAACAAAATTCAAAACAAATTATCTTATGAATGCTTGTAAGTTTTATTGAAGTTATTTTTTGTTGTTATTACTATCATTATTATTTATTAATGTGTTTTATTGCAGATTTCAGAATTGACCCTGTTTTTGAGTAAAATGACAACTCCCGTTTTCACCCCTTTGGACTTTTATCTTTGGGGCTTTCTGAAAACAATAGTCTACCATAAAAAACTAAGGTATATTGAGGAATTGAAACTTCGTATCCGTGGTACTGTCTTATCCATCTCTACAGCTGTGATGGAAAATGTGTTTTCAGAATTTACACGCAGAATTAGATTGATTATAGCTCCTGATGGAAGACATTTAGAAGTTTGTTAATTAAATTAAATAAAACTTACAAACCTTTGGAAGGTACTTTGTTTTGAATTTTGATGTTATTCTAAATAATAAAAAGGTCATTGAACTTTAATTTTGGTATATGCATTTTCGGACACCCTGTATATTCACTGGTATGTGCTCTAACTTTTTTTCCTGTGTGTTGATGGGAAGGTGTTACGCGTTGTGTGTGTACTCTGTATACAACATAGTACACACACAAAGATTTAAAAGAAGGTACACAAGATTGAGGAGGTTTGAATTTATCAGTCAAATGTAAATTAGTTACTTTTGAGACAAGTGTACTTTTTAAACGTTAATTGGGTACTTTTTCCACTTATATGAATCTTTTGTAGAGTGTCTTAATCATTTCTTATTATGGTACTATATGAAAGATGTATATACACAAAAAACACGCCAGAATTTGGATCGTTAACACTCCATCTACTAGGTTATACAAGTATTGGTATGAGATCAGTATTGACATTAACAACCACTAAACCAACCACATTCCGTTTCTTGATATTTGAATCATAAAATAATCAAATACACTAGAATTTGGATCGTTAACACTCCATCTACTAGGTTATACAAGTATTGGTATGAGATCAATATTGACATTAACAACCACTAAACCAACCACATTCCGTTTCTTGATATTGGAATCATAAAATAATCAAATGCATCAAATATTTCACATATGAACACTGCTTGGACGATATGAAGCAACTATACTAGAAATCTTAATACGGTAACTATGTGGAATATAGTTTACGTATTATAAACTGTAGTGTTGTTGGTGACCAACAACACTACAGTTTATAATACGTGAACTATATTGACCAACAGCACTACAGTTTATAATACGTGAACTATGTTGACCAACAGTACTACAGTTTATAATATGTAAACTATGTGGACCAACAACACTACCGTTTACAATACGTGAACTATGTTGACCAACAGTACTACAGTTTATAATACGTAAACTATATTGACCAACAGCACTACAGTTTATAATACGTGAACTATATTGACCAACAACACTACCGTTTATAATACGTAAACTATATTGACCAACAACACTACAGTTTATAATACGTAAACTATATTGACCAACAACACTACAGTTTATAATACGTGAACTATATTGACCAACAACACTACCGTTTATAATACGTGAACTATGTTGAACGTGATGGAGTACCAACACTACATTTCTTAATACGTAAATTATATGAACCAACTACACTGCAGTTCACGATGCATGAACTTGATGGCCCAATTACACTACAATTTATAATACGTGAACTGTATTGACCAACTACACTGTAGATCTTAATACATGAACTGTGAGAACCGACTACAATACAATTTTTATTATATAAATACTATAGGAATAAACTATACTACGCGAATTATATGAACAAACCACACTAACATTCTAAGTTCATAAAATATATAGACAAACACACCACAGTGCAGATCGTTGTATGTAAAATTTATATTAACCAACAGCATTTCGTTCTTAGTAACTGAAGAACAGGTTATTAGCTACGGTTCCAAATATGCCAACATTATAATTACCAATTACAATATTAATTTAAAAATACCATATGCATCAATAAAACTTTACTCCTTATTGTGGAAACAAAGTATAGACCATCTACAGTGTTGAATACTGACAGTGTTCTAAAACCAAAAAGAATAGTTGGCTAATTTTATGTTCAAATATTAGCAAGTGTATTATAGTTGGTTCATGTTGTGTTCACTTACTTAGAACTATAGCTTAAGTGGTCCATGTTCTGTTCAGTTGTAGAGTACTAAAAGCCAGAGTGTGACTGGATCGTTACTTGTTTAAATACTAAAAAATATAGTGAACTTATATAACATTTTTTATTTATTATCCTGTGTATCATGAGTTTAAAAAAACACTAAATATATATGACTAAAAACACACGAATCATGTCCTTAAACTTCATTGAATTTCATTATGTTGTTCTATATCTGTATCTTGGGATTTAGCACATGATATAGAAATATATCCCCCTTTATGTTGTTTTCGTTTGTTGTGCTAGTTACAGTTTTATTGAATCACTAGCTTATGTTGTGTTAGTTACTGTTATGTTAAACCTGTAACTTCTCACTGCTTTGCGTATCTTTTCTTGTTTTTGAAGCCTTCTCGTTGTACCAAAACTGATAAGATATGATTACACAATTTTATTTATTCTTTAGTGCATCGGTAACCAATAGATCACATATATCATTGTATATGCAATACCAAACATTTGGTAGAATAAAATTAAAGTTAATTTTTTCCTGTGAATGACATTTCGGTATAAGTCAAAAATGGAACTTTGTGAACAAAAAATGCCTGTGCACGTTTTTTTGGTGAGGGGGCTAACGTTTCGGTCTATGGGCTAAAGAAGGTTTCGGCATGGAAACCAAAATGTTTTCCAATAACTGCCTTCCAGTAGTTCATTTCCATACATATCTGCTTGGAACTAAATAAAATAATATTTGTTTACAATAACAAATACCGGTTTCATGGCTTTTTAATAAAACGTTTTTAGCTTAACTTCTGGAACAGAATATCTCCAGATTAGAAAAGTATTATTTAATCTGGTGTTTTAGGATTTTACTATCTCATCTTCCTACACTTTGACTTGTAACATTTCCACACATTTAGTCACTTAATGTCATACAGTGATATATTTAAAAAGTTGCCCCCCAGTGGCACAGCGGTATGCCTGCGGACTTACAACGCTAGAATCCGGGTTTCGATACCCGTGGTGGGCAGAGCACAGATAGCCCTTGTGTAGCTTTGTGCATAATTAAAAACAAAAAATTTACAAAGTTAGAAAAATCGTTCTAAACAAAAATGAATTATAAAATTCCTCCAAAATATTGTTGTTCTAAAACAAACGTGTTCAATTCCGTTTCTTTTTAACCTGCTTTACTTTTAAAATACCGAGTGATCGACCCTGTATTTTACAGATAACGCTGTATTGTTTACGCTTGAAATAAATAGCGAAATTTCAGGTATAGTGTGTTTTTTTCATTAAATTTATATTATCATTATATTCTCTTATGAATGTGTCCTTTATTTTAAAATTTTTGTTTGTTTCTTTTCATCAAGACTTTGGCTAATCTTTCACCGCAATTGGCATTCATTTACACTAAAGTAAGACACTTACTAAAGGTTTTTAAGAGCTTGTTTTGTACACTTCTCAGTTAACCGCTGAGAAACCTAATGAGACATCTACAACATTTTTTAAAGCCAAGAATTATCATTTTTGTCAGAGCTCATGCGTATTATAGACTAGTATTTTCCACTGAAGTTCAAGAATAGCTGAATAGTGATTAATATGTTCACTTACAACAGAATCTAGCTTTGAAAATATTTCTTGTAATATATATAACACATTCAGTTCTGTAACAACGGCTTCCTGATTGCTCACCTACGCTTAAAACTAAGTGCAATTGATTGATGCCATACTTTTACACAAGTTGAAAAAACTCTTAATCTCAGACAGAAAGTGAAAGAACTGTACATTCTTGAGTCATCTTGAAGTAATTGAAAGATGCGGGGGAGTCGCAACTTGTTGTAGGTGACGATAGCAAACGCCCGACATGAAGGAAGAGTGGACTGGCCCATGTGGACTGATCATGTTACTCCGAACATCCCGTCTATGAATTTTTTTGTGTGTGGGCGGTCGTTAGCATCAACACCATTAGCTGCTAGTCCGATACATAAACCACATTTCAACTAAACATTCTCCAAATAGGAGCTGGACGGGTTATTAGCTGCTCCGCTCGGTCGCTGGAGCCCTCAGTCTTCACCAACGAAACACACCCTACTGAGGAAAGGAGATAGAACAGCGTCATAAGACGTACTAATATCATTTCGTGATTATCACATAAAGATCTCGAGAGAAGGCTGATGATCAAGTCGTGACAGTGACAAACATTGTTGATTATTGTACTTTTCAGGACCATGGAGGTCCACAGAGCCACTAGGTGTCTCTGGCTTATCACTCTTTTGTGCATCCTAGTCACTGCCCAGGACTACCCGGAACCGAATGGTATTGGTAAGAAGACAGCATTGTATAATTTCAATTTGCAATTAATTCTATTAAGTTTCACTACCACTCTTATATTCATTTTTCTAGCTTTAAAAACGTAAAAAATTAACTCTAAATCCATTTCGTTCTTTACAATATTTTGAAAATATATTTTCCGAATTTAAGAGGAGGAAATCTGGAAACCACATTACTAGGAGTTAATGAAATAAACACGATTCAAGTTCAAGGTATTTGACAATGAATTTTAAATAAAGTAAACGAAAATAGCGGAGAATATCTATAACGAGACTTCTAGGCCTTAAAAGCAACATAAAATAATTGAATATATAACTTTGGCATTGTATATGATTGATCATGATACCAATATGTTTTTATGGGAAGCATCGATTAGCTGCTTTGCATTACACTTAATTTCTGTATGTTTTTTGTGTTTACTATATTTATTTCAACAAAATTTGAATTACTCAGTTCTTTACCTTACACGAGGGACGTGTATGCTATAGAATAATAAGAGCTTTATTTGTAATTTAAATTTCTTAAAATATACTAAAAACTTGGAATATTTGAAACAGTCCATGTCTGTAGCATTCCTTTAAAACTTTTATCATTTTTACTGAAGTCACAGTTTAGTTGCTATAAATATTTCACAAAAAACTCCATTAACTTCAAAACAAGTTTCACAAATAATGTAAATATGCAACGTTTGATTTTAGCCTTATGTATGATTGTTTCATTAAGTCATCATAAGAGCATAAAACAGAAAGTCCTGCCAACTGTTTTCTTATTTATTTGGTGAAATAATTGTAAATAGCTAGCTACAGTTAATCTAAAATGGGCGTTTACTGATTAAGAGTTTACAATAATTAAAAGGGAAGTTTACAGCTAAATAAAGCGTACAAATATTGTAATTATGGAATATCTTCAAAAATTTGATTATATTTAGTATATGTTGGTTTGTTTCAGAATGTTCACGCAAAGCTACACGCGAACTACTTGCGCTAACCATCCTTAATTCTGAGCTGACAGAATAAATCATATCAGCACCCACCGCCAACTCTTGGGTTAATCTTTTTTCACGGAGTAGTAGGATTTGATCGCCATTCTTATAACGCTCCCACAACCTCAAAGTAAGGGGCACATTTTTGCAGCAACTGGGTACGAACCATGAATCCTTGGGCTTATAGCCCGAGCACGCTAATCACTAGGCCTCGCCTGACCTTTAGTATATGTACTATGAAATAGTACTGATGTACAAAAGCCAACAAGAGTGTATTTTACTCTTAAAGACATTATTTTGAAGCATTTAGTCATTTTCACAGTTATCAGTTTGTTCTCTAGTTTTATTTGTATGGTGTCAAAGATCAGTTTATATGTGACAGACAAATCAGGAAAATTGTAAAAGTATTTAAATTTCCAAAAACACGGCTTCCTTGGATACAAAATATTATAGAGAAACAGAACTATCCGAAGAACAATTCCCCTTGTTAAATAATCACTCCTGCATTATAACACACATTTTGACAAAAATGTCCGAACCAAATGGACATGTTGGTGAATAAATTATTCCGATATGTGAGCAGATTCTGACATATTTTCTATTGTTTTATACCCACATTGGTGTATATAATTACGTTGTATACCAACATCCTACACAGACTGTAAAATTTGGAAAATTAATAATTTAAATCATATTAAGTAAAATTATTTAATAACGTTTCACTGGAATCAGTGTGGAATAACGGCTTTTAGACACAGCTCTGATGGTCTTACTAACTTTATTCTCAGTAGTGTTATCTCTAGGCGTGTGAGTTTGTTAACTACTGTTTCTTGGAGGGTCGAGTCAGTCTTAATGGTGAGCACGCCAGGCTGTAGACCAAAAATATTCCAGGTTCGAGTGCCGAAATACCACTAAACACGCATACTTTCAGATATAGAGCATCAATTCAGCTATTCGGTTAAATGCAGCGGGTGCTACTGAATGGTTGCCCTCCTCTGCAGTTCTAAATTAGCAATGCCCATGCATGAATCTTGGGATCTCTGACTACGTATCGCATAAGATGACGTGCAGGCTGAAAATACCAAATACAATTTCTTAGAAGAAAATGCAAATAATCATACTTTTCAATACTCTACTCAAAGCTTTTGTATATTTGTAATACAAAAAATAGTAACCTATTGATCAAATAAACACAAGGATCACAGTATTTCACTTAATCCTTATTTCAATAAGATCATTCAGTCAATGTGATCCTTAGGTTGAGGCTGCTAGCATATTACTCTTAGTAAATCTAAAACTACTAATTTCAAAACGTTTTAAAATAGATCCTTGAACAACTGCATTGCGGAGATGGGTCATGTTAAGTGTTTTGTGATGCATTGCGGAGATGGGTCATGTTAAGTGTTTTGTGATGCATTGCGGAGATGGGACGTGTTAAATGTTTTGTGATGCACTGCGGAGATAGGTCATGTTAAGTGTTTTGTGATGCACTGCGGAGATGGGTATTGTTAAGTGTTTTGTGAATTTTGGGTTAAACATGTTTTGTGAATCAGATAGAAGTGAAATATGCTTTAGGCGGTTGGTTAATAAATATAATTTTTGTATCAATTTCATTTGCTCTCTTTTTATTTTCTAATAATCAGTTTTTGCGCCTGTTCAACCTTGACAAGCTTGTCCTTACATAAATTTTAAAATACAGTACTGTATGTGTGTCCTATTAACTTTTCAGTCGCTAGGCTTAGGAATGCCTTGCGCTGTAGTTGTAGGCACGATATAAGAGTGATTAGCCAATTCTACTATTCGGTTGAAAGTCGGACAAAACCCTTGTGGTGGTGGGCGCTAATAGCTGGTCAATAGGTCAAAATGAATGAAACAGTTATACTTGAACTCTAGGAGTCGAGTCTCTCACCTTTCCGTGTAGTTCATGTGCACAAAGGGTTTAATATACTACGACTTTGTTCTTCCTACCGTAGGTTTTTGTGAAATGTTCGTAGAAAAGAATACATTAATGATTCACACTATATGCTTATTAGGTTTAGAATTTTGAGAAAACAAACATGAATGCTGTAAAACTCTGACGTTGATGCAGTTATTGTTGCCATCCTAGTCACCAGGTGGCATTCAGCCCATATTGAAGCCGATAAGAAAATATTGGGAAATTTTTTTAACAGCGAATGGCTATTTATCATTAATCATTTAATAAAATCCAGTTTATTAGCGCTACAAGAATCGTGCGTGTATTTTAAGAAGTCCAATTTTTCTCAGTTTTTACATAAGTCACTTTTAGAAAACCCGTTTATCTCATTCCCTTAAAACTCGTGCAGGTTTAAGTCTCACAGTCAGTTTTGGGCCATGTTTATTTAACAATAAACCGTTCAAGTACCAACGGCTCAAAATATCAAAGAGATTCTGTATGAATGCATAAAAATATACTAACCACAGTTTCAGAAGTATCTGACTAATTATTATTTTTAACGTTTGTGGGTAACAAAAAAAGTGCAACAAGGAAAATTTTATCAGTATTTTCATATTAAAGTGATAATACAAAAAATAATACATTGTAATTTACAAATTTAAAAAAGTCTGTCTACAAGCTTCGTACGGTCTCAGTATTGAAACTCGACTTTTTAAATCTCGGTAATAGAAACTTTCTGTAGGCTTTACAACACGGGACTGTTACATCGTAGACTGATCTTGTTAGAAAAGTCTCTCACGACTTGATTGAGCTTCAACAAATGGGATTATTAATATTGTTTACTTGGCAATCTCCGCGAGATTTTTTTTTATCTCGTTCAAAAAAAAAGTACACATATGGAAACGATATTCACATCAACATGTTGTCAACGCCAGAATCCACAAGTTCCAGAAGGCTTGATGATCTTACCATATATTGTTAGGGTATAAAAAAGTGTATGGTATTGTGACAGTTATATGATACCCAGATGGTTCAGTTGTAGAGCTCTAACACTTAACAAAGACAAGAAAAATTGTCGTTTCAAGTGCTCTTAGCACTTTCAATAGGACATATTCTTTTGATTTGTCACACCACAGGGGGCGTTCCAAATGTAAAGCATTGATTGCAATCGATAATATTTTGTGGACCTTCTTTGTCAAATGCAATCTTTTATACATTTTGTTTGTTATAAGTGGTTAATTCTAGCAATACGTGTGCAGTAATTAATTAATTCTTAAAACATAAATGCAACAGATAATAAACCTAATTCTAGCTAGCGGCTGCGTAAAAAGTGATTATTTTAAGTAATCATATGGAATAAAGGGCGAATAACTTTATCAGGCTGATAAAGAATATTTGATTAATTATAATAATCAAGTTGTGATGGATGAATTTTAACTATTGGTAGTCCTGTTGATAATAAGTGATTAATTCTTACAAGTTTTTTAATATATATTAATCGAATAATTGTAATTAATTATTTTGTAATGACTAAATAAAATTTTCAATTATGTTTGATAACAGTGATTAATTTTGTTAAACTTGGTTTGTTGTAAATAACTTGTCCTAATAAACTTTTAAATAAAAAGCACCAACTTTAAACTATATTTGCAATGGTTGAAAAATTCTGGCATTAGTGTTTAATATCCAATTTTTATTTTATTTTATCTATAAACTGATAAAGGGTGACATTCTAACAATTTTTCTCCAAAAATATTTTATTTTAATATCACTTTTTAATTAGTGGGTAACTTTAAAATAATAATATCAAAATATTCTATAAATCAGGTATTTATGCTTCAATAAATGATCAAGCTGGCCAGCTTTTAATTAATTATTTTTCACCATCCTATTTATTATGACAGATTAATTGTATTTATATTTAAAGTATCGCTTAGAATATTAACTAAGTCATTTATAACTATTATAATATTTATCAAAGTTTACATTAAGAGCAAATATTTTTAATGCTATTAAGCTATATCAGATACATATTACATTTCACACACATATAGCGATGGATCGCTATTATAATATACTGTTGTAACACAAATG